AAAACTCAGAAGCATTCCGTGTTAGAAATGCAAATTCTTAGCCTCCTCGGACCTACTGAATTAAAAACAAGGTACACTCAGAGTGGGGCTTACCACCTGGAGTTTAGCAAGCCCTCCAGGTACCTCCAGTGAACACTGACATTTGAGAGCCACTACCCTAGAGTAAGCCTAGTTATCAGATGAAACGGTTTCGTTTTGGCTATGTTGAAGAGCAAGAAAAACATTTTCTTGTCAGACTATTGGAATCATTCATAAATAATCAACTCAGCCAGGGTCTTTTCCTGTTAAAATTGTTATTGTGGTAAACTTTTTATTTTTATCTTCTTTATGTTACTGGTGATGGAACCCTGAGCTATATCCCCGATGATTTTAAAAATTGTTATTTTGAGACAGAGTCTTCCTAAATCACTAAATTGCTCAAATGGGCTTAGACTTGTGATTGTCCTGCCTCAGAATGTGTTACCATGCCCAGCTACCTGTATTTTTAGTGTATCTGGTAGAAAGAATATATATATAGACTTTGGTTTTATCACCAGGTCAGTTGAAGTTCAGTTGAGATTCAGGCAGCCAGAAGAAGAGCTGCAGAGCTGTGGAGTGGGTTAAACATCTTTTATTCAGCTGCTAGCCAGAGTTTGTCTGTTTAGCTGCTCTGGGGAGGGCCCCCAGCCACAGCAGTCCTTAACCCCTAGCCAGCCCATTCTTCCACCAGTCCTTGGCTGCTTAGTCCCCCTTCTTGCAGAAGTTCTTGGCCATGTGCCTGTAATAACTTTGGTTATATAAATTATTTACACTGGGCAGCATTGACTATGGCTGCAGAAGTTATTTACATTGGGGTATCTGGAGATGCGTCTGTGTTGGAGCTCTGCTGACACATCCTACTGCTTCCCAGACCTCTTCATAGTCTGAACCAAAGTGCCACCACTTTCACATTTCCCTACAGTGTTGGAAGGCCTTGATTTCAAATTTTGTTTGAGACACATTGACCTTGAGAAAGCTTCCTAACCTTAAGACAACTTCTTTCTCTGAAAAATGGAACTGCGAAATCTACTTGAAAGGATCATAGCAAAGATTGGAAATACTATAAACAAATGCCAGCTTTTTACTAGGATATTAAAAGTGCATTCCTTATTACTTAAACTTTCGGCTTTATTGGCTTCTCTCAGTTTAGAGGGCTTAGGGCTTCTTAAAAACTATTTCCATTAAACTAATTTAAAACATTAATTAGATGACAATTCAGAGAAATCAATTCTTTACCTTTCTTATGTAGTCTTATTCTTGGCATATTTTGTATGTACTCTACTGCTTTGCCATCTAATGTGTACTACACTAGGAGGGATTTCAGACTCGAAGTAAGTTTGGATCACTTAAGACAATGATTTTGTCGAATTGCCAGTTAACTTCAGCCTGAATTATATGAGACAAGTATGTTTTGATTATAGTAGTTGAAAATAGAATATTGGAAGGATGATTTCATTCTAAGGTCTCTTTCATACTGTTATATCTTATTATTTGTTTCTTTGTTAATTTGAGGTGAATTTTAGGACACTTGAGATAGTACTAATAGGATATGTGTATTTGAAAAATGAGCGTTGGGAACCATTGTATTTTTTTTTTTTTTTTTTTTTTTTTTTTTTGGCGTTACTGGGGATCGAACTCAGGACTTTGTACTTCCAAGGCAGGCACAGCACTGAGCTGAATCCCGGGCCTGGGACTCATTGTATTTTGATAACACTGAGCCATGAAGAACATGAGTGTTGACTAAGCAGTATGCATCTTGCTGACCCTATATTCTGCTGCCTCCTTTTTTTCTTTTTTCTTTTGGTATTGGAGATGGAACTCAAGACTTTACACTTGTGAGGCAGGCACGGTTCCACTGAGCTAAATCTTATGACCACATGAGGCTTTGAGGGGACATCTAGATACAAGTCATTACAGCAGGCTCATAAAAAAACCTTATAGTGTGTCCTCATCTACTGGATCTGGCACCTTGTAACTTTTGGCTCTTTCCTAAAGTCAAAATGACCATGAAAGGTAAACATTTTGAGTCAGTCCACAGCATGGATGAATGTCATAGCAGCACAATTAAAGACCTGAAAGAGGACTTCCAGAACTGCTTCAGAAAGTGGCAAGGACAATGGGCTCAGTGTGTTCAAAGTGAGAGGGAGAATTTTTAGGTGGATTAGTGTCATTGTGTCTTGTACTGTGGTAAGCTTTTGAAATATTCACTCACTGCTTTTGATTACACCTAGTATACATCTTTTTTTTTGTTTTTTGGTACTGGGGATTGAACTTGGGTCCTTGCACTTACAAGGTAGGTGGCAGAACCACTGAGCTAAATCCCCAGCTCTATACATCTCTTTATACCATTTTACAGCTGCATGATAGCTGTGCAGTACTTTGTCAGGTAGATGTTCTATCCTGTACTAATATTTAGGTTGCTTCTATTCTTTTGCTGTTACAGAGAGTATTTTCCCAGTGTATCTGTGGAATAGATTCCTAGAAGAGAGACTGTGATTCAGAAGTTAAATGCAAATGTGATAAATGCAAATTATAACAGTATTAATTCCTCTTAACAGTGCATTAGAATTTGTTTCCTTACAGCTTTCCAAAGAATATGTAAGACTTTTGGACTTTTTGCTAATCTGATAGGTAAGAAATGTGATTACATCAGTATAGTTTTTTTTTGGGGGGGGTGCCAGGAATTGAACTTGGGCCCTTGCACTTGTGAGGCAGGTGGTGGAACCACTGAGCTAAATCCCTGGCCCAACATCAGTATAGTTTTAATTTCTATTTCTCTCTCTCTTTTTTTTGGTACCAGGGATCGTGCTATTTCTCTTCTTATGAATGAGATTAAATTTCTTCGTTTACATATTTTGAACTATCTTCATATTTATGTTCATTTTTTCAGAAAATGTTTCTTGGTTATTATTGCTGGGTGCTATCTTGAAGAATTACCCTGAGCCTTTCTCTCTAGTGGTGGAAATAGCCATTGATGAAACAGTATCACCAGGCATGTATAATTTAAAGAACAGAGAAAACTGTTTCTTGATTCAAAGAAGTCAGGACATAGTTTAGGTAAAGAAGATTTCCATGAAAATCATGGTTCAGTGAAATAAACACTAATGGAGACAAATACCAAGGGTTGTGGGAGCATTGAGTTTGCAGCGGAGTGACTGGGTAAGAAGGATGTTACTGGGAAATCGTTGATTAGGGGATACTTGGATTGAGTGTTTAAGGAAAGGAGAGATTGGTAGGCTAACCTGTGGGTAAGGGTATTAGAATCAGCTAGAGGAAACAAGCAAAGAATGGGGTCTGAGGACTCTTGGGTTTCTGGTTCTGTAGGTGGTGGTGAGGGCTGGTATTGAAACTACAGCTGGACTATCTGATGATCAGGATTTGATACAGATCTCTGGTTCTTGCCCCTGAGCCCTCTTTTATTTATATCAGGTTAACTTTAGCAATACCAAGTTGAAAAATTTGATTAAAAGAGTATTTCTGTGTTTTTAATTTTCTTGCTGAGGCATGCATCCCCTGTTGATAATCTTCCTGCTCCGTACATGTTTAGGGAAAGTTGAGAGGGGAACTCCCAAGGAGTGAATGAATGATTTCTTTCCTTCTTTCTCATTTTCTTGTAGAGTAAGCTGAGTCTTTATTACTTTTTCACTCATCCTTACCACTTGCTTTTAGGCAGGTTGAAGGCTCCTTTTTTAGTAATTTGTTTCATTTGGCCAAGGGAGAAGGATATGCCAGAGCATAGGTGATTGGGAGGGAGTTGATGAGGCTGGCAAAGTAGACAAGAGTTAGGCTAGCTTTGTGTTTCATTTTGAGAAAAATGTATTTTATTTTAGGGTTAGTGAAGGGCATCTAAAAATGTGACATGGGTGGACAGAGGAAAGGGACTGGAGGCAAAGAATGACAAGATTATCTTTGCATTTCTGAAAGGTAACTGATGACATGTTGAGGAAAGTGGATTAGAGAAAGTACAGCGTAGGTAGAGAGAGCGTTGATGTCTAAATTAGCAGGAGCAGGATTACCTGGGAGCTTGTTAGAAATACAGGATTTAAATAAGAACCAAGGTGGATTATGTAAAGGTGCAAATTTCCAATAACGAATGCCATTACATTGTATACCTTAAATGTACCAATAAAATTAATTTAAAAAAAGAAAAACAATTTTTTAGGCCCTACTCCAGGCTTACTGGATCAGAAACGGGGGGGGGTGCAGCAATCTGTGTTTTCATTCTTATGCATACTAATGTTTTTAAACTAGAAATATGAAGGCCAGTAAGGGCACCATCACATTTAGTAAAATGCTTTTCACATGAATCACATAGTTGATTTTGCTGAGATATTCATTATATTTGTGTTGTACATTCATATTCAAAAATAAGGGTCTAAGATTTTGTGACTTTAATTATGAAAGTCCAATATTAAAAGATTTGAAAAGCTGAGATAGTGTACTAATATATTACACTTGGAAAAAGGGAGACACTGTACAATCACATGGGGAAATAGAGAAGCTGGAGTAGAATAAAACAAGTGAGAGGCACTTAATCTTGAATACTATAGATGCTGGCTGATTATGACATTGATTTATAATCAGAAAACTGATTGAAGATATTATAAAAAGAGGGAACATGAACTCTTCTTTTTGGCACTCATAGGAAAAGATGGTGGGTTCACCCAAGATTTGTTCAGATACTGTTGTGCAATTGCTCCATGCAACTATTAGAAGGCCTCCTCCTTTGAGTCGCTGTAGATTAAGTAGCAGCTGATTTGCATCTAACCTAGTTTTGCTTTGTTTTATAAAGGTTTGAGAGTTGTGGATCTAAATTTCACCTTTGTTGAAATGAGACTGAGTACATCTGATAATCTCTCATTGTTTTCCTCTATTAGCTTTGCTGGGTGACCAGAAGAACAGATAAAGCAAATGTTATGTAAATATAAAATATGTATTTTAAAGGATAAGTAATCTTTTTTCTTCTTCAAATTTTATTCCAGGATCCATCAGTTACACAGGTGACAAGAAATGTTCCACCAGGACTTGATGAGTATAATCCATTCTCGGATTCTAGAACAGTAAGATCATTCTTAATTGGACTACTTTAAAATGTATAAGTGGAAGTTAAGTAGAAATTAAAGTTTAATTAAACTTTTTTATTTTATTGGTCACATTTATGCAAAACAAGCTGTTAATGTTTTAGAATTCAAGTTTTTTGTTGTTGGTGGGTTGTAGTTTTTTTGTTTTGCTTTATTTTGTTTTTGTTGTTTTTTGAGACAGGATCTCACTATGTAGTTGAGACTGACCTGGAACTTACTATGTAGCCCAGGCTGGTCTTGAACTCACAGTGATCTTCCTGCCTCAGCCTCCAGAGTTCTGGGATTACAGGCGTGCACTCACCACCCCCGTTGGTGGTAGTTTTATTTTTGAAGGACTCAGCAGAATTGAAAATTTCCAGTTGGTCCTAGTGAGACACTTCCTACAATGGTGTGCTCGGAAGTAGGGTGTGTTCCTCACATATATGTTGTCTTCATGGTAAGGTGGACAGTGCGTTCTCACAGTGGGACTCTGAAAATGTGTCCTTTTGTTTGTGTATGGCCATTTGAATCAATCTGTTCTTTTAGGACCTATCTTCTGCCATGGTGGGCCAGAACCTCCAGAGCTTTATCTCTAGGAAAATGTATTCTTCTCTTGAAAATTTAGTCTTTTAAAACAATTTTATTGGTATATATCTGCAATACATAATTACATTCATCATGGGGAATTGTACACATATATATCCTAATCATTTAATAAATTTTTAAGAATTAGTACATTTTGTCATACATAATGATCACATGCATCATAGGAAATTTGTACCTGTGCATGATATACAGTGAGCTCCGAGGTACGACCAGCTTGACATATGAACAACTTGGGCTACAGCCAGAATTTTAGTTTTAACTAATCAACAAAGTCTTGAATTATGACCTGAATGCTGGCCACTTGTGCTTCCAGATGGTCTCAGATACAGATTTTTTTTTTTGGTAGAGGGGATCGAACTCGGGTACTTGGCTTGCGAGGCAGGAGGCAGAACCACTGAGTTAAATCTCCAGCCCTCTCAGATATAGATTTAATCCTTAAAGATTTGTGTTTTTTTTGTTTTGTTTTGTTTTTCAGTACAGGGGATCAAACTCAGGACTTTGCGCTTGCAAGGCAGGTGTGGTGCATTGCCCTGCTCATTTAAAGAGTTTTAGAAGGAACATTACAACATCCATTACTGCATGGGGTTAATTGAGAAATCCTGGGCCAGTGTCTCTGAGGACACTGAAATCTGCCTGTATACACGAGAGGGTCTTCGAAGGCTGTGAAGAGGAGCCTCAGCCTTCAGTTGACCAACTTGAACTGCATCCAGCCCTCAGGAATGAATTGAGTTCATAAGTCAAGGATCCACTGTATCTTCTTTTTGTAAAATACATCTTAAATATCCTAATCATTTTTACCTCTCTGTCCTGTCCCCACCCTCCCTTTTCCTGTCCTTTCCATCTCCACAAAGTCTCCCTCCCTATTTCTTGTCATCTCTTTTATTTTGCTTTTTATTTATATTTTGGGTTTCTTATGTAAGAGAAGCTACGTGATAGTTAACCTTTTGTGTGTGATTTAGTTAACAGCATTATGGTCTCAAGATGCATCCATTTTCCTATAAAGGATTCAGATTTTTATTTATTTATTTATTTATTTATTTATTTATTTATTTATTTATTTTTGAGACAGGGTCTCACTATGTAGTTGAGACTGACCTGGAACTCATTATGTAGTCCAGTTTGGTCTAGAATTCACAGTGATTCTCCTGCCTCAGCCTCCAGAGTGCTGGGATTATAGACATGCACCACCACGCCCTGCTTTTTCTTGGTTTTTTGAGACAGGGTCTCACTATGTAGTAGAGACTGACCTGGAACTCACGGTGTAGCCCAGGCTGGTCTCAAACTCACTGCAACCCCCCCTCAGTCTCTGAGTGCTGGGATTACAGGCGTGTGCCACCACGCCCAGCCAGATTTATTCTTTATGGCTGAGTAATATGTGTGTGTGTGTATGTGTGTGTCTTTATCCATTCATCTGTTGCTGAGTATATGGACCGTTTCCAGCATTTTTAAAAAAAAATAGTGCTACTATAAACTGAGCATGCATGGATCACTGTAATATGATGTTTTTAACTCTTTGGGGTAGATTCCTAGAAAAGGTATAACTGAATCAAATGGAATTTCTATTTAAAGTTTTTTTTTAAATAATCTTTAAAATATAGTATTGTAAAATGTAAGCGGCATGAAAAATATTTAGGACAGCAACTTGTTGCTCTGGATCCATTTTAAGAGCATGTTAATGAACTTATGCTATTATTACGGTCCTAATCTTTTATAGTAAGAGCCTACTTTTAAAGCTTTTTTGATGATTCTATTATGAACCAGATTTGAGAACTATTTAGGTGGAATTTGTTTAGAATTATTTCCAGAATGTCTCTGGCAAATAATTTTGTTTCCATTATTTGTGTCTTTACTTTAGACATCACCTTCATGAGGTCCCTATCTTTAAACATTTTTGCCTCTTAAAATGTTAGTCATCCTCTACTGAAGTTCTTCAATTGTGTGTTTGGATTTATATATCATTATAATGACCCTTAATTGTTAATTACCTCTTCCTGGTACTTTTATTTTTTTTGTAGTTTAGAAAATAATTTTAAAGGGTTATGCAGATTTTTTTCTTGGAAATGTCCATAAGATATATGATATTAACAACCCCCCCTTAGTTTTAGGAAGAGCTTTGTACAAAGTTGTGGTATTGGTCTTCCTTCCTAGTTCCTGTCACACAGCTTCTAAAACTCTTGAAATCTCCAGATATATGATGATTGGACAACTTGGTGGCTAGGGGGATGCTAGATAGCTTCTACATGGGTACTGGTCACCAGAAAATTCAGGTTTAACAAGAGGGTTGGAACTTTAAAACTGCTCCCTAAGAGAGGGGAAGAGAAGGACTAGAGCTTGAGTTAATCATCAGCGGCCAATGATTTAATCAATCATGCCTATGGAATAAAATCTCCATAAAATGTCAAAGGAGGAGCATGTGGGGCCAGAAAGGGAATGGTAGCTCTGGGGCTCCTCCTCTTCTATACTTTATATCTCCATTTGGCTGATCCTGAATTGTGTCCTTTATAATACATTTCTTATTTATAGTAAGTATTAAAGTAAGTTAACTGTTTTCCTGAGTTCTGTGAATTTTCTAGAAAATTAGCAAACCTGAGAAAAGGGGTCATGGAAACTTACTGGCAGTTTATAGCCAGTTGGTTATAAGTATAGGTGGCAACCTGAAATTTGTAACTAATGTCTAAGGTGGGACAGTCTTGCACTGAGTCCTTGACTTGTAGGATCTGTGGTGGTCCTCAGAAGTAGTATTAGAATTGAACTGAATTGTAGGCCATTCAGTTGGTGTCCAGAATTGGAGTATTGGGGTGTGTGTATATGTAAACACCCATACTTTTGGGTAAAAGGTGTTGTGGGTAAAAAGAATACAAAAATCAAAACAAACTTTTAAATTTTGCTTTATTTAAAAGATCTTGTTTAAATCAATAGCTGTTGACATAATTTATGAATTATAATCCAGATTGTACTCCTGTTCTAAAAATTTAATTTTTATGTACATTTTTCTAACTGTTCTCTAATTCTTTCAACTAATGTTGACATTGGTAGCTGTTTTTGGTTAAACATCCCCTTGTCACAGTGTAAATGAAAAATTGGAGTTATAATTATATTTTCCTAGCGTCAGTTTCATCTTGTAGTCCTGCAAAATGGTTTTTTTTTTTTTTTGCATAATATTTCTAGGAGCAAGCAGGATTATATCTCCGGTACTCAGAAGAAAGGCAGATCACTTTTTCCACTACATGTTTTCTTTTAATTTTTAAAATTTTAGTAGAATACAAGTAGGTACTAATAAAGAAAATGTAAAAGCCATTCTATAAAAAATAAATTTTCATAACAAAATTATTAGAGACTAACAGTGGTAAATTTTTTTTGTATTGAGAGTCAAACTTGGGACCTTGCACTTAGGAAGCAGTTTGCAGAACCACTGAGCTAAATCCCAGCCCTTCATTTTCTAATAATAATACTATGGATGCACCTAGAGAACAGACTGTTACGTGAAATAAATCGAACACATGTGTAAATATTGTATTGTCTCACTGGTGTGAAAAACAAAGTAAATAAGGGCCAAAGAGAATAATAGATATTGTGAAGTAGAAATTGTTTAAAATTACACCGAGTGTAAGATACTTTGTTAATAATTGAATGCTCTATGCAAAAAAAAAAATCAACAGCTGTTGCTTATATGTAACAATTATATTTGAGGTTGGAATCTCTGAATGTTTATTGAGCAGGTTGAACTATGTGAAATTGTTGTTAGGTTCTGGGGAGCTAGAATCTTCTGGAGGTAGGAGGTAGTTTCTAGATTCTTTTTGTTGTGAGCACAAAATTGGTCAAGATAAAGCATAGGTAAAGTTTACCTTTTTTTTTGGTAACAGGGTTCAAACTCAAGACCTCGCGCTTGCTGGTCAGGTGCTGTGCCACTGAGCTACATCCCTGGCCCAGTTTACGTATTTTTAATACTACAGAAACTGTCTCTACACTTTTAATTCCTGGTTTTATTTTCTATTGCTGTGTATTTTCTTTTCCCTCTGCTTTTTACTACTATTCTTGAAGCCCTCATAACCTATCCTTTCTGGAACCAATCTTTGTTTCCAGTCTTACTTAATGATACTTTGCCTTCTATCCCTCCTAGTGTTATTGACTAGAAATACCTGATTCTGCTTGGGCTCAAATAGTTTCTTTTCCTGTGTCTAATTACTTGCCACATCCTGTCATTTGCCATCCCCAAGAGGTACTACCTGCCTATTCTTTTTCATTCCTAACTGTCCTAATTCAGACACCTGTGAAATAATACAATAGCCTTTCTACTTAGCTTCCTCCATTCTGTCTCTCCTTCAAACCACCTTATTTACTGTGACTAGAATTGCTTTCTTTTTTAAATTAAAAAATTTTTTTTTTCAGTATTG